CTCCACTGAGCTTTATGCTAAACTCCTTTGTGCCTCAGTTTTCTCATCCGCAAAGTAAGGAAAATAATTTGAGGTTAAAGAGACTCCTAGAATTATAGCAACCCAGAGGATTAGGAGAATAAAACAGGCATAGGCGAGTTAGTATTCTGAAAACAAAAATGCAACCAAAGCAAAACATTTGAAATATGATAACAATGATAATTTGATCCTTATTACAAAGAAGAAATTTTGTTTTGGCAATGTCTATTCGATTTGTAGATTTATCACCAACCTACATTTTTTTCTTTTTTGGTATCGGAGATTGAACTTAGGGACACTCAACCACTGAGCCATGTCCCCAGTCCTATTTTGTATTTAATTTAGAGACAGGGTCTCACTGAGTTGCTTAGTGCCTCGCTTTTGCTGAGGCTGGCTTTGAACTTGAGATCCTACTGCCTCAGCCTCCCGAGCCACTGGGATTACAGGTGTGCACCGCTGTGCCCAGCCCAACCTACATTTTCTTTCCAAAAAGCTTCATCAGGGGCAAGTGACTCAACCTTCACCCTCATTCATGGAATGATCTAGATATATCATTGCCTATTTCACTCTTATATGTGCCTAAATCCTATGGTTCTCCACTAGATGTGTAATAAGGTTAGTAAACTCAGCTGGGACAATGCCTGTTGGGATATCATAACTATATTAGATAAGTTGTCAGGAGAAAGAAAAGCTGATAATGTCCACATAACCTACATGGAGCTTATGGCGTTCAAGCAGGATAATTTTTTTTGAGTGAGGGGCTCTCCTCCTTAATCCAGCTACTCTTAGGCCAATACTGATGACAATTTGCATTTCTTCACGTGTGACAATAGGTAACAGAGTTGCTGCCCTGCTCAGACTCAAATTCTTCATGCATTCACTAAGTATCTATGTTGGTGCTGGGGCTTCAGAATGTCCTCTCGGGCCCTTTAAGTATATGATCCTCTTTCTATCCTCTTTAGAAGCAGAGAAGTTGATCCTATTTTCCCCATTCCACAGGCAGGAAAACAGGTTTGAAGGAATGAAACAACTTGCCCAAGGTCACACAGGTATTCAAGCTCCTTCTGGAAGTCTCCATCCCTTTCCTATGCACTTGGCTGCATGTTGGTGATATCATTCATTCAGTGGCTCACCAGAACCATCCACCGAGAGGCCATGCTCATGACCCTTTGAGGCCAAGGATACCAAGAAGCAGGGTGGGGTTTGCACCCAGAGTGTGTTAAAAATAAATGCAAGCTCAGAGGAAGCTCCTGGAATGAGGCTGAAACAAGTGACTTTTGCTGACTTAATTTTTAAAATTCTATTTCCCTTATGCTCTATTTTCTGTTTCATAAGAGAACTGCCTTTTCAATTCCAAGTGTTCCAGGTGGAAAGGTCATCGTATAAGCAATAGAGAAAATTAGAACTAATGAGAGCACAGGAAGAGCTCTCTGCCGACCTCCTTAGGGTTCACATAATTATTATTACCTCTCTCCCYCTTAGGGAGTATACTTTGTGGTGATCAGATATAATTTGATTGCCAAATGCAAAACGTCTCGTTAAATGGATATCCTTTTAAATCCCTAATTTATTTATTTTGATGGCCTGGTCATTCCTGTGTTGCACTCACAGACCTCAACAAATGCTAAATGYTGTCTGTGAAAGCTTACATATTGTTTTGAGACAAAGAAAATAAGCAGTCTTCTATTTAGTTGCTATGTAAAAGTATACATAGAAATTGCCTTCTTTCCAAAGGCAAAGAAGCAGTTTCTACACAAGGCATTCAAAAGGTTTTGCTAAAACCAATACAGATATTTTTCTCCCTTAGAATGTAGTCTGGTTGAATTATGTAAAGGGTTATCTTTTTTTTTTAATCTCCTTGTGGCATTCAAACAGGATCTTTACTTATTATTAAAGGGCCAGAGAGGACATTCTGAAGCCCCAGCACCAACATAGATACTTAGTGAATGCATGAAGAATTTGAGTCTGAGCAGGGCAGCAACTCTGTTACCTATTGTCACATGCTGATTATTACTTAAACATTACTCTTGATTTTGGAAAGTGCTTTTAGGGAATCTGTGAGGAAAATCTGAAAAAAAAATAGTAGAAATCCAAGTTCCAGAGGGAGCCACTGAAGATAACTGCCAGCAAGATGGGACCATGTGTGCAATGCAGGTAGAGGAGGCAGAAAGTTAATGCTAAGAAAATGAGCACCTAGGTTTTCAAAGGTAAGAGCCAGAAGTCTTCTTAATCTTCTTTTTCTACCCCAGTTGGGTTGGGATAATATTGATAGAGCACTATTTGTCCTGAAGTCAAGGTAAGCATTTCTCTTGTTTCTAATTGAATTCTGGACCCCTCATGTATAGATTTGCTCACATTCACAAAGTCACCTTTCAGCCAATGTCCATGTTGGCTGGAGCTGACCCTACTGGAATCTTCTTTCCAGCCTCCTGCAGGTCTGAGCTTTGGCATTGTTCCAGGAAACTTCCATGGCAACCTCCCCACAGAGGCTGGATAGGCCAGCCCTGCTCACTGCCCTTAACTGTGGCTGCATCAGACATTGCTCCTGAGAGCRGGTCTGGCAGGCAGTAAAAATAAAATGTATTTAGGAATCCAAAATGGCTCTTTGTCACCCATTAATCTCTTCCTTCTGTGGCTCATGATGATTTTTTTTTTAAGACTTGACCTTTTTTCTTTTATAACTTTGTTTATTTATTTATTTTTTTGAAGTATGGGTTGCTGAGGATCAAACCCAGTGCCTCACATATGCTGGGCAATCACTCTACCACAACCCCAGTCCTCATAATGAGTTTTTGAAAGCCACATTTCATGTTCAGGTTTTCCAGTTTATTTTTTGTGGTCATCTGTCTCAGTCTTTCTAGGCCTAAAGTGCAATTGGACAAATTGTGGACCTTAGCATTTCGTTAGTCCATGTTGACTGTCAGAATCAACTGCTGTCCTCAAGACAGCCTGGAGCTAGCTTGTGGCATTTCTTACCTGAACACCTAAGGGAAAGGCACCATGACAGAGTAAGTTAGTATGGAAAGGTTGCTAACTTGTATTCACAATGACCACAATATTGCTGATGTCCACAATGTGCCCTTATTCAAAATTCCCAGTGCTTCATGTTTAACAAAAGGAGGAGAGAGGTAGGACGGTGAGAATACCTGACAACAAATTCTGGCTCTATTGCAAGCTTGGATGGTTGGAGAAAATCACTCCCACAATGTCAATGTCCTTATCTGTAAAATGGGGACAATAATATTGGCTCTGCCTATCTCCTTGGCTTTTTACTATACTCAAATAACTGCATCCTTCTCATTTCACAGGAAAAGATAATGCAAAGGTTGCTGAGGCTCCAAGTGAGTACTCTTGGATGTGAGAGCCCACTATCCCAGATACTGAGGGGATTAATATTTTTGTACATCTTTACACCAATTAGAACACTCTGCTCTATGAAAAGACTTAAAGTAAGCCTCAGCTGCAAATCTCGATGCATTCATATTCATTTATATTCTCCTGTCATATAAATATAACCTTGCAGCAGATTGTGAAGAATCACATGCACACATAAAACCTAGATCCAGGGCCACCAAGTCGGAGAACTTGAATACGATTCCAAGCTCCTGATACCTCACATGTTGGTACCTCACCTTTTGACTGTGCTTGCAATCATGGCTTGTCCTCCATAATTAGTTACTTTGGAAAAAAAAAAAAAAACACTTGACTGCCTGCCAAGATGACAATTCAGAGGAAGAGAACATTTTGTTGCCAGATCATTCATGCAGTAGCCTGGCAACATTGATATCAATGAGCTAACAATTTTATGAATGCCCATTTCTTTTGGTCTATATACATATCTATAACCAAATCTGTCATCTGTCTTCTCTTCTGGTAGGAAGAACCAGTCAGTTTCAATGGGAATAACATCTTCAAAAGTTAAAGGAAAGATCAACTTTTGGAATTACAATATATAGCTTGCAATTGATAAAAAAGAAAATAAGTTAATATTTAAATAAATTTCTTAAAAATAGTTTTAATAGAAAAAAGCATTATTCATGTTAAAGCATCAGTAGTCCTTTCTTTGACTATGATCTTACAATTTAAAGCCAGATTTCTTAATTAAACGTTTTATAAAGTCACATTTTAAAAACACTAAATTTTCACTTTGACAAATGAAAGGAAAAATGGATTTTACCTAGTCTGCAGACAGTTAGGGAGTGTCCCCATCTGTCAATGGGGATTACAACAGCAGCTAGATTAGTAAATTATAAAGTTGTGGGGAAGAACACAGTTAATGTATATGAGGTGCATAAAACAGGACTGACGGACTCCTGAAGTTGAGCAGTCTGTGTAAACTACTATTATTATTTGTCCAAACAAATCATATCTATCAGTTGTAGAGAGACACAAGGTCAAAAAAAGAAAAAAAAGAATGACTCTGTTCTGGAAAATTCTTTCCTAGCTAAAGAAATATCACTAGACTCTTGTACTCAAAGGACAGACATAGAAGCAGCAGGTTGGAGCTCTAAGAAATGCAGAGCTTCAAACTGCTGCACTAGTAATTGTATTTTAGGATCTCTCATGGGGTTTGTGAGCACACTCAAGTTTAAGAAATACTGCCTGGAGTGCTCCTGGGTACTTGAGTAAACCCCCTGGAGTCATTTGTACGTTGGAAGGAAGGACACAGTAGTAGGACTGATTCAGAAAACCTTCTTTGTCTTATTGATGATTATTCAGCTGCAATCTGGACCATAGAAAGTAGGTTGTGGGGTAGGGGATGTGGATCACCTGTCCCTCTCCAGTTAGAAGGCGTCTATTGGAATCAAATGAAATGGACAGATACCCTCAGGGAACGAATGTAGGATTCTGTAAATGGTCTGGCTCATTTAGGGGAAGGAACAAACCCAAGCACTACAGGAGGCAATATCCTTAGGAAATCTGTAAGCAGTTTTTCAAAGGAAGGCTAGGTGTGCATAGAGGGAGGGGAGTAAGTCACTTACATTAACCCAGGGATGCTCAAGGACCTGCACAGCTGAAAATCGCTGATCCACATTGACCAACAGCATCATGGTAATGAGCTCCTGTGAAGGGGAACATTAGACTCCATTTATTTGACTTTGAAGGTGAAAAGCTGGGTGTTTGCAAATGTGGGCTTTCTCTTCCTTTTGGAAAAGCATTTGTAAAAGCCCTTAATCTTAATTATATCAACTCCACTTACCTGCAACTACCTGAATAACATCTTCAAAAGTTAAAGGAAAGATCAACTTTTGGAATTACAAATATATAGCTTGCAGTTAATAAAAAATGAAAATAAGTTAATATTTAAATAAATTTCATAAAAATAGTTTTAATAGAAAAAAAGCATTATTCATGTTAAAGCATCAGTAGTCCTTTCTTTGACTATGATCTTACAATTTAAAGCCAGCTTTCTTAATTAAACATTTTATAAAAGTCACATTTTAAAAACACTAAATTTTCACTTTGACAGATGAAAGGAAAAATGGATTTTACCTAATCTGCAGACAGGATATTTAGGCTTGAAAGAAAGGAATGAAAAAAGATGTAGAATTTCCAATAGCTAGTTGGTAAAATAGAAAGAACTTTTAGGGGGTTGGTGCTACAGACTGTACCCAGAGGCTCATGTACATTAAACATGTGCTCTACCACTGAGTTACATCCCCAGCCCAAGAGTAGCCAAATGATTCTAAGGAAATGTGTTAAAGTTGCTTCAAAAATTTCCAGACTTATCAATACAAAGAAAGTGGAACTATTAAGAGGTAAGTGACTTGAAAATGCTGCATTGAAATTTTCCTATGAGCTCAAAGTGATTTGGACCTTCCCTATGAGCTCAAAGTGATTTGGACCAGGATGGCACAGCTCTCTCTGGTCAATTTGTCAAACATCTGTCCACTTTTAGAAGTTCCAAATAACAAAATGGTTAGATAGGCATTATCTGGTTTCTTATGTACACAGGCTCTGAGTACCACATGGAATGGGAATGACTGATTTCCATTGATGTGGAATCTAACTTAGCTTTCTACCAAGCTTTCCCTTCACTTTCTAGCTTGGATCAAGACTTTTTAAAGCTGTGACTGTGCATAGTGCTCTCTGCCAGGTGCTGTGGGGATAAAGGAGATGGTCCCATTTGTCAGTAACTGTAAGCTCGCAGGTATAGAGTTAGAGCATTAAGAGTTGGGCAGATTCCTGAAAAACCTGGTTACAGGTGACAGTGCTCCAACCCTACCCCAACACCACCCCAGTTCCTTTTACCTCTGGCCTTTCTTCTGACATTTCTCTTATTTCCCTACATTTCCCTAATTCCAGAGGTGGATTCTTGGACAGTTGAAGCAAATGAGAGACTTGTGCCCAATATGCATCATTTCCTATGCAAAGGGGTTAGATCCAAGGGATTCAGTTTTAATTTGTACTTACATTCAGGATATAGCAAAAGGAAAGTCATACCCATTGAACAACCAAAAGATGATTATTTTCAACATCAAATTTTCAAAAATGTAAGTCAATGCTTGTAACATGATACAGGTAGAGTATCCCTTATTCAAAAATCTTGGGACTAGAATGCTTCAGATTTAAAATTGTTTTCTTTTTTATTTAATTTTAGAATATTTGCATTACATAAACAGATATTTTGGGAATGAAACCCAAATTTAAATACAAAATTCATTGTTTCATATGCATCTTATACATATTTATAGCTTCAAGATAATTTTACACAATACCTTTAGTGCACCTATGTTATGACTACAATCCATCATATGAGGTCAGGTGTGGAATTTTCCACTTAGGAGATCATGTTGGTGCTCAAAAAGTTCAGATTCTGAAGCATTTTGGATTTTCAAATTAGGGATATTCGATCTACGTAAATTTAAAAGAGATCAATTACAAGGTTTTGCTTCCTTTCCAAAGTCTACTAATATGCTAATGTAAGAATTTTATAGTCTTTTAGATGCTGATCTGTATTATTTTAAAAGTGTGTTAAAACATACATAAAATTTAGCATTCATCCATTTTTGAGTGAACATTTCAGTGGCACTCAGTATATTCACATTATTGTGTAACCATCACCACTATTAGTTCAGTGGGATAAACATYATATGTTTGATTCCCTGCCTCTAAACAAACATAGCTTCCCCATAAATTCTTTGTTGATCATTTCAACCTATGTTGAGGATGAGCTTTCTTCCCTTTGATTGGTTAATTGCTTGATTAACTTACCCATACATTATTAATTTGTTGAATACATATTGATCACTAATTAGGTACCCGTTATGATTTAGGCACTGATGATACCACAATGAATAAAATGGACAAAAATCCTTGCCTTCACAGAATTTACATCCTATTAGGGAGAGTGTGGAAATAAACTACATGAATAGAACATATCCTCCTATCTATATATGTCTATTTACCTATGTAGGTGAGATAGGTGGTTACATGGTATACCAGATGGACATAAGAGTTTACATTTTATAGAGAAAAATAAAGCAGATAAGGAGGATCAGGCAAGCCAGGTAAGGCTTAAGAGCTGCAATGGGAGATGGGGTGGTCTGGGAAGGCTTCACTGAGGAAATGATAAGACCTGAGAAGGGTGTAGCAATGTGCCATGAAGAAATCTGAGCTGGGCTCAAGCCTGGTGAGGAGGGAACACAGAAAGAGGTTTTCACAATGTCACTGGAGTGACAATAAAGTAGAGTCACTTGGTAAGTGCTTGTTAGGATGGCCAAGAACTGATGGTTGGATGTCTGTGAAATGTTAGAAAACCGAGTAATTACAACTAAAAGGTATACAAATCACATTTATGATATCATTAGTCTCTTTGTGCACAATGATTTGGAATCAATAATTTCTCTAGGCTGTAAGGAAGAGGCAGGCACTGGCAACCTACCTTTGCAGAATCAGAAACATTATCCCAGTACGGAGAAGGAAAGTCCACTTGCCCCATCAAGATCTGATCAAAAAGCACCTCCTGGTCATCACCACTTCTGTTTAGATGAACAACAACAAGGAGAAAATAGCACTAAAAGGTCAACTCAGGGCATGTTTCATCATTTTTTTTATGCACTGAGCCCTTCCTTTCCCCATAAATGTGTAAAATGTGTGTTCTTAAAGCAATCGAAAACGTCAATATGCAACTGTTTGGGTAAATTAAGAAAGAATGAGTTTTTAAATTATATGAGGAAGATTTATGGAAGGTATATAAATTAGCATGCACAATATGGAAAAAAACAACAGGCATTTCAAGTGAAGTTATTATGTTCTTTTCCTGCTTCAGGCCCCTTTGTTCAAGAAAGGCAAATGGATCATTCAGAGAATAGAGAAATACTCTGTTGGTGCCGATTAAAAATTGCTGCCCATACCCACGAAATGGAGGGAAACCACACAGCAGGATGTAAGTGATTACACCAGCTGCCCAGATGTCCACCTTGAGGCCATATCTGAAAAAATAAGTGATGTTAGAGTTAGCAAAGTCAGGCCAGGACAAATTATGGGGCATGCTTAAATAGATGACTCTTCTATTCCACACCATAAAGGAGACTGAACAAAATAAAAAACCCAATGACAAACAGTAAACCAAAGCCCACCAGCTAAACAGAGTTCAAGGAAGTAAGTATAAAAAAATTAAAAAGACTATCTAAGGCATATGAATAAAAATGAGGGGCTGGGGTGGCTCAGTGGTAGAGCGATCGCCTAGCACATGCGAGGCCCTGGGTTCGATCCTCAGCACCACATAAAAACAAATAAAATATAGGCATCGATATAACTGTAACTAAAAAATAGACATTTTTTAAAAATCAGAGCTATGCGTGCCTCGTAGGCTCATATCCAAATATCAATAAGTGAATGGTGTCAGCAAAAAGKTTTATTATAATCATACCAATTTTGAGATAGAAATGGACCTAACTCTCTAATTTTAGTAATCATAATTATTTGAAGAACATTCTCCAGCTTATGAAGAGCTAACATATATTATCCTATTTAGTTTTCCCAATGACTTTGTGGGTTAGATAGGACAAATATTACCTATTTTATAGAAGATAAAGCAAGTTCAGAGGGTGAACCTGTTGCTCAAGATAGCACCATTAGTAACAGAAATGGACTGTCTTCAGAGTCTTCAGGGCCCAACCAAATTCTCTYCCCACATCTCCTCAACCCTCCCAGCAGACTGTCAGAATATGTCCCAGTAGCAGATGTAGCTATGTCAGTGGCAGCACTTTCTGAGGGAGGTCAGGTAAGGTACAGATGTGGCTTCCAAAATCACTCAACTCTGACAAATAAAAAGTCCCCATTCTCTCATATCTCATCCTAGGAGTTTCCCTATTGGGGTTTCCTTCTCACCTTTTTTGTCTTTCTGCCCACTGGTTCTATGGTACAAGTAGAAAAATCATCTTCAAGTGGTCACAGTGGATGACACTACCTGGATTCCCAAGTGTGGACTGGAATTGCTAATGAAAGAAAATGGGGCTGTCCCTCCCAATTTCAGATCAACTTCAGCACCTCATGGCTCTGACTATGGCTGTTGGTAGGAAATAGGTTCTTAGCTGAAAAAGCCTTTCTTTCAGGCTAACCTGAATTCAAATACTGACTTAGTCGCTAAAAGGTCATGAGCTTACAGGATACTTAAGCCCTCAGAGATGAGTCTCAGTGGATCTATGTGCAAAATGGGAATAGTTCTTACTATTCACCAGAAGAACAAGAATTAAGTAAATGAGTTTAAGGACTGGCATGTATTAGGTTCTTAATAGTAATAAGTTATTTCACTTTCTCTCCCCATTTTAGTGTAGAGATTTTCATTCCCCTGATTCTGTATAAAGAAACCAGCAAATTCTCAATGGTCCTCTGATGCCTAAGGGTGTTTACTCCACAGGAAATCAATGGATTTCCAAAAGGACCAAAACAGGATCAGAAATGTATAAAGGTGGCTGAGAGAAATAACCACAGGAGAGTGTAATCACCACACAACAGTGTCTTTTTTCCTCCAAAAGCAAGTTAATTACCATCACTGTACCTTTCTCTGTTAGTCTGAACATTTTTTACTCTGGGGTTAATAACTTCCATTCTACCTTTAACAAAGCCCAAATGATGGCTTTAAACAAGATTGCAGTAATTGGTAACTTGATTGGGAAAGCATAGAAAATAGCTCCTACTATAAAAGTTAAAAAACAAACAAACCTGAGGGCTGATTCTGTCTGGATGGGCCAGAGTAGTACTATGTTTCTTATCATCAAGGTAGCCCAGTTCTTTTGTAAGCATAGAACTAAAACACAGAAGAAGCATTTACCCAGTCTCTGCAATTATTTCAGGAGCCACATATGTTGGGGTGCCACAGACTGTGTATAGGGGGCCATCTACAATGGTGGCCAATCCAAAGTCACCCAGCTTCAGGGATTTGCTGCCATCTTGGTGCTCATATACCTAAAATAAAAGTAAAAACACAATCACCTTAAAACTAAGAGCTCAAGGGCTTTTTGTTGATAAAACAAGGGACAATATGGTTTAAATTTAATGTACATAATATTAAKAAATCAGGCAATTATGCACAATATTTTTTTTTAGATGACTGCAAAGTTGGAAATACAGCCAATGGAAATTCGCTAAGTAAACAATGGTACATTCACACAATGGGATGTACATGGCCTTTAAAATGGTGATGTGAGGTTATACTCATTGTAATAAATTATGTTTGGGAGGTAAGGATGTAAGATTTCAGACTGGTTTGTATAAAATGTCTATTATATCAAAAAATAAAACAATATAGAAAAGAAGTCTGAAAGAACACAGTTTTGTGTGTCTRTCTCTGGGTGGTAGGATTATAAAGATCTTTTTCTTCTTCTTACCTGTATTTAATGCTTTCTACAATTAAAGTTGATTTGAATAGTAAAACGAGGCATAGAAAGTYTCTTGTGCTTTATTTTATGAAAATAATTACTTCTTTATCCCAATATATGAGAAGCTTTAAATATGCCTTTTTAAAGTAACTACACAAAAAAACTACACGCATATTAAAATACTTTATTTTCAGTGCTCTACATTTCCGGCAAGATCTATTTACATTTTTTATTAATAATTGAGAGGGATATTAACATTTCATTTTACCTGTGGCAATTTGGAAAGATTTATCAGGTGCAGAGTCAGCATTCTGTCCAGGTTTCCTTATTAAGGCAGTAAAAGTTTCTAGTCTTTCACCCAACAAATCAAAAAAAAGGATGCCTATGACTGTAGGCAAGTATTTATATGCTTTAATTCTAGTCTGTGATCAAACCAAAAGGATATGCTCTAAAAAGTATCCCAAACAACTTCATTGATTAGAAAGAAAGGATCAAAGGGCATTCAGAACTCTTACTCAGTGCCCTCTGGAATCAACAGGATAAAGAAAAGAAAACCGCAGTACATTTCTGGTATTTCTAGCAAGGGCAATCTTTCAGAGATGCCTCAAGGAAATGAAATTTTCCTCATACATCAAAATAATTCATGCAGTAAGTCGAGGCTCGCATGTTCTTCTGTTATCACTCTATGATCATCTGGTACGTGCTGAAGCAGTCTGCACCTCCTGCACAGCAAGACATATCTCCACACATCAGGAGTGCTGCTACTGTTCACATGCATATCCTCCATCCTTTGGAAAAACTTGATTCACTTTGCATTCCACTATAACACAAAGTGCAGATGTTTGGCCAGCTAAGCTGCAGAATCAGCAATGACCATTTGCATCCAACTATTTTGGCAGCAGCAGTGGTCAGATTCTTCTCTCTAGAGAGGCTGGGTAGAAATTATTCTTTTATATCTGTTCACGTTCAGAACATGGAGTCTTTTCCCCCAGAGCTCTGGATCACCTTTTCCCCCAGAGCTTTGGATGCCCTGGTCCAAAGAGTGGGGGATCACCTGCTCGGGTGTTAGGGGAAAGACAGCCATGTCTTTAATAAGTCTGGTGGGCTGGACACTTAATGAAGCAGCTGTGCAGCCCTGGTCACCTTAAACAAGTCTGAGTTAGGACTTGGAGGCATCAGAASTGCAAAACACAGTATTGTCCTCAGCCTAAATGTTCTCAGGACAAAGAAACYCCTAAATTGTAGTCCCATTGTGCTGGACATTCTGGTCATCTAAACAACAAGCAAATGTTTTTCATGAAAAGAAATATGAGATGGAAACATCTACCAGATCATCTGTCTAGTTTACTTCCCCTGTAGAGCAAAATTGTTTACTTCCTTAGTTCCCTTTTGTTACTAGTAATCTTTCTAAAATGCAAAATAACCTCTTGCTTTGATGTTCTGCTAGGTCCAAACATTCATGATGTGTGCTTTGGGAGATGGTACAGATTTTGATCTATTCAACCCCATTTATGCAAGAGTTCTGTAGATTAAAAAAAAAAAAACCAGTGTCTATATCACCTAATTTATTCAAAAGTTAGATAAAACCAGATGTTGGGGAATCCAATCATTAAATCCCATTAAAGTTCTGAATATGACCATGTAATTCTCTCACATGGAGCAAGGGTTTTATTTTTGAACCTATATTTTATCAGGAAATATGTATTTATCATATGTAACATATGGCCATATATTAATTATATTTTATATAGATGAGCAATAAAGTCCAAACTTCTCATAACTGAGAAAAACTCAAGGCTCTGTGTTCAATCCCAGCCCAGCACAACAAGCAAAAGAAAAAGTATACATTAAAAGGCTACATAAATGAGGAAAGCAAGGAAAACCTAAAAGTAGTAATATTTCTAAAATACCAAAGTCATTTAAATGAAGTCTATTGAATTTATAATTTTAATGTTGTGTTTTCTCCTTCTTTAGTCACTTATCCAATGCCCCCTCCTGTTTTTTTTTGTTGTTGTTGTTGTTGTTTGTTTGTTTTTTTGCTTTTTTGCTTAGAACTTTCATGAACATTAAGAGATTGGACTGATACTTAGGAGAGACAAAAAGAGCTTACAGACAAAGACCTATTCCATGTAATTGAAAACATTGCAAGACTGAAGTACATTAGAAATGTGTCAACAAAATATTTTTGCAGGTGAATAAATGTCCAGTCCTCTGGTTTTAGAATTCTGTTTAACTTATTGTCAGGCAGGGCAGGAAACAAGGTTACTTTTGGGGCTTTCTCTGTCAACACTTTGGGAGAATGATGGAAAAGTATTTATTCCAGTGTTTCTTCTCCTCCAATGGGAGAGTCCCTTTCTGAAGTGGCATAATGAGTTCTCTCACCCTGGCCCTCACCATAAGTGCCTGCTGCAACCTGAGCTCTGTTCACCCTCATCTCTTCCTGAGCCAGTTTCAGAGGGGCATGAGAGAGGCCATTTGCAAATACCATTAAAACTTTGTTATACATCATAGATTGCTCAAAACATCTGTTTCAAGAGTGCATGCACACACTGGTGCACAAGCATGCATGTGTGCGCACACACATCCTTGCAAAACCATCTCTATAAAGTATTTTCCCAAATGGTGGCTGTAAATTCACTTTGAATCAAGTTTTTAATTGAAAGTTAGAAATCAGAAAAGCTTCTCACCAGTTCTTATCTTAAAGGCTGAGTCCTTGGCTTACTGTACTCTCAGAGTCATTCTGTTCCTCAGTATGCCTGCTCATCTTGACCATCTTTCAGAAAGGACATTAGCAGGCTGCAAGTACAGACTTGGACAACCTGATTYGGCAAGTGGGGTTCTGGTGTCAGAGGAACTTCTTGCTATAACTGTGTTTTAAAGCCTCTATAAAACATGACCCACACGTAAAGTGGGAGTACAACAATTGTCAGTCAAGGAGTGCTCACAACATGAGATACAATGTTCAGCCCAGGTCCTTTAAATACTATAGATGTTCCCCCACATCTTAAACACTGAGGGACTATTAAAGAGATGAGGATTAGTGCAAATTACCCAGTATGTAGTGCTTTCACTGTTTTAACTAAGCAATAAAACTGTGTAATTGTACAACACTAATTGAATGCAGCTACACATAATTGTGGGCTGCCATATGTATCCTATTACCATAAAGACTGTCAGTATTTTGTAAGCTACTCTTGTGATCATTGCAGATGGCTATAGTCAGAGAAGTTGTTCTCTAGGGTTTATTATATGGCTATAAAGATATCCCATGATTTGACAGACTAAGTGTGTTAAATGGCAACAATTATGAAAAAGGTTCCAATTAAAAACTAAAGTCATGTTAACCAAGAAGAGCTAAAGTGAGAGGTCAGGTGTGTGGATTTTGAGCATACTGGTATTTCTCTTTTATAAAAAGGATTTTATTTTGCATCTTTTCTGTTTATTTGGGGTTTTGCACCCATGATAACTTGCTGAACAGTAGATGTTTGGGCATATGCTTGACTTCCCTTGGATGGGAAACTGAGACCATTTGGAAAAGTTATTTGAAAAAATAAAACATTTAATATATAGCCATAAAAATGCAGCCGGTGGCCATAAAATATTATGAAAATTCACAGATAACCTAAACCCAGTCAAATGGTTTCTGAGATTCCCATAATTGAGGACTAAAAGCTGACTAGTATAACAGATGTGTTGGAACAAACACAATTCTTAATGTTGCTACAAATTCAAGGATAGCCCTGTTGAAATGTTGGCTAATGAATCATTAGTAACCACTGAAATAGTTTTCACAGAGGAGCTCAATAGGTACTAAAAATTATTTCACCAAATAGAATTGGAAAAAAGTAGCATGAAATTGACAAAGCCATGAAAAGAGGTCAATTTACTTTTTAACATATAYGGTATCCCTTTAAAAAGACATTGATTTTCCTCCAGCCACAGTGCATGTCCTTTGTGATGCTTTCTAAGGAAAAAGGATTAAACTTAAATCTTTAAGAAGCAAAGCATAACAACATTTAAACTGGGAGTTATTTTGCAAAATGCACTTACAGTCACACACTTTTGAATTAGAACTTGTGGGAAAAAATACACTGCAATTAAAAAAAATCATATCCACATGCAAATATTTATGAAATCCAAGTTAAATAAAATAATAAAACAATAAAATTTGCATAAAGGAGGAGAAGGGAAACAATGTTAAAGAGAGAGATAAAATTGCTTCTCTTAGGTTTTCTACTGGAGATAGCTGGGAAGATGGAGAACGGAAACTCCAAGAAACCTGATTCTCATCCTCAATTTAAAATAGTCATGAAACCATCAAAAAAGGGGTTCTAAGCAGCTGCAGTGAGATACATAAACATCAYACTCCAGATCCTGTTGGGAATTGTATCCTAGGATTTTGCCAAAACTGTGGGAACTCAGTATCATCTAAGGATTTTATTATGTTTTTGTCACATAATTGATATCTAATATGCCATTGTGGAAAACTTAGAAAAGGCAGGCACTGTGGAGGAAGAGGAACTCAAATCACCTATAATCTCCACACTCAGATATAACCATTGTTAACATTGTATCCTATGGACTTTC